CCGTGAGGCATGCAAAGCGCCAAGTAACGGTTGTGGAAAACCTCCAATTTGGTTCTTTCATGTAGATGTCCAACTATGAAAGCATTTATTTTGCTGGGCAAAACCGCAAAGTGAGTATCTGGACCTCAAATCATCTGTATGTTTCCAGGACATGGAACTGAACCACATCGTTTTCGCCATGATGAAACGCAAAACGGCAGCAGATGCATTGACAAAAGAGTGTGAACCTCGTTTCTACTGTATCGTCCTTGTTTTTGTTGGCTCGTCGCCGGTGTCATTTCCAGTGCGTTCAGCAAAAACCCTCCCAGTCATTACCATCGTTGTCAAAGTAATCCACTACAACTTGTTGTCCAATCAACATCTGATTGAATTGAAGGAGAGAGTGTCGCGGTGTCTTGAATCATAGCTTTGTTTTCTACACTTGTGATTTGTCGGCATTGTTTGGCATATTTCCGACCCTTCAAACACCCTTAGCGTGTTTTTTCCGCACGGAATACCTCCGACCTTTTGAAGACGGTTTTGGGGTCCATCTACCACGATGGTTTCGAGCGTTTTGCGCCACGGGTGGTTCAACGACTGTTTTTCGTTTTTGGTCGCCACGGGTCACTAGAGCCTTGGAGCCTTGGAGGTTTTGGTTCGCTCAGGTGCTTCCCCGACGAACGGGCACAGGGAAAAGACGATTGAACGAAAAACGGATAGCAATGGCCATCGACAAGTGAATTGCTATGGCCATGGATAGCTACCAGTGCTACCAGGAGCAAGGACGCTACTAGGGGCTCCTGGCCGTACTATTAGGAGCAGGTAGCTACTAGTAACAAAAGCTACTTGGGGCTCCTGGCATCGCTACTATAGGAGCGTTCGGACGCTAAGCCTATTCTCTTCCAAGTTCACCGAACCTGCGCGTGTCGAAGAGCGGAGCCGCCTCGCGCGGCTCGCTCGCGTTTCGCTCACGACACAGGTATGCCCACGGAGACCTGGCCGCATCCGGGATGGGGTGGAACGACGCTCGATCTAATCGCAAGCAGGTTGGTGGTTACAGGTCAGGTTGATGTACCAGATCAGTGAGTTGATCCCGAGTCGAACTCTGAGGGGTGTGGGTCGCGGAACCCGCTCGTGCTCTTCAGCTGATCTGCTGGTGTTTGGGTCCTTCAGGTGAAGCATATCTTCGAAGGACCTTCGAGGCGGCCCTTGGGGGTGCGACTCCGAAAGCGAGAAAGCGAGGGGAGATTTTTGGACGTCGTTTTTTCGTGCGAAGGTCCGAAGATGGAGTGGGGGATGGCGGCAAAAGAGGAGGTGGGTGTCTATTTGAAGAGGGAGACCGGGCAGACAGGTCCTAGCGAGTTTGGAGGTCTCCGAATTTGGAGCTACACACCCAGCTGGTGGAGCGAGTTTCTTGCTTCGTTGGAGTTGGAGTGGAACTCGTGCTGCGGGGGTTCTGAAGTCCAGCCGAATGGCGCGGCCGTGTCAACCGCCACAGGACGGGCGCCGTCGTCAGAAAGGTCGGCTGGTGCGGAAGCTCGGGAGATGCTGAGAGCGGTGGCTTCAGAAGAGACGTAAGGAATGGACATAAAGAAACGAAGACACGCCGTGCCATGACATGCTGCATGGGTTTCAGGTCGTTTCGAGCCATTCGTTCGTTTTTTTTGGTATGGCGCCAGTGTAGCTTGAAGGATTCCTCGAAGCAGGGCCTGGCAGACATGACACGACTGCACCTTGCCGAGTGACACGGGTCATGTCTTTCCCGAGTCTGTAGGCTCATGGGCTCACCACCCGAGGCGAATGGGCTGGGCGATGCCTGAGGAGCAACGGATGGTCTATCCACCGGAGAGTGGGGAGACATCACTCAAGTGGTGGCTTACACCTGGGTTTGAGGGATTTCGTTTGGTCTTCATAACACTTTGAGTTAGGGATCTTTTTAAAAAATGGGCTTCAGGGCCCTATGGCCGCCACTATGGCCCCATGGCCGATGCGAGCCATGAGGGGGAAGCCCCATGGTGGCATTGAAAAGGTGGCATCCGATCATTCGAGAAAAGGTCGGTATGGGCAACACATCCGGGTTTGCAGGAGTCAGTGAGAAGACTGCGAGAATGATTTGACCGTCAATTCGCTAGCTTGGAGCTCTCACTTGTCATCAATGAATGGGGAGATGAAGCAATCAACATGCTGGTCCAAACTTGTTTCCAACCATGTTCTTCTTTAAAGTACAGTACGTGTTTTTTACCCATTGTCCAATCTACTGAAGAACCCTTCAATTCCGGCTGAAACAGGCTTCACATGGAGAGGTCCCCGCAGTACTCATCGCGAAGCACCCTTCGCAGCTGAGTAGCTCCAAAAAGAGTTGCCAATCGGGCGACAATCTGGAGTCATTGCCGCCCAATCGAGTTCGGCGGCTCGTTGCCGCCGCGGTTTCGAGGTGATTTCAACGCCTCCTCAGAAGATGTGAAACGTTTCGAGCCATGGAGATCTTGGTCTTTGCCTAGAAAACATTTGGGGTCAAAGTGATGATGGTTGAAGTCTTGGAAGTCTCGTCCGTTTGCATTTCCAAGCATTTTTTGGAAGAATGGTGGGAGATCCATGCTGCACTTCGTGGGACCACTTCGGGTGTGGAGCAAGCAGTAGGGAGTAGCAATAGGGAGAGCAGGAGTTAGATCAGTAGCGAATTGCTTTGCTAGACTTGGGGAATTTTCGCAGCTAGCAGTAGATTCACACCTGTCGAACACCTAGTTTGGATCCGTTGAGGCTTCATGGATACCTGTGGCAGACACTTGGTTTTAGATGGCTGAGGTGTTTTCGCCTCAATCAATTTACCGGTCACTGAACTTGGCGACCGGCTAATGGCCAATGGCACCAGGATGTTTGCGAAAGGGGTCCACATGCGTAACCAAAATGGGCGCCGGTGTGAAGCAACAAGCGCGGTGTCCAAACCGGCCTTTCCAGATCCTGGTGACCTGCAGATCCTTTTCTGCAACCCAAAACCGTCCATCCTTTCGGATGATCACGGGAGGATCACCGGACCCGTCACGGCCGAGATCCTCACGTGCCGGACCGAGATCCGATCCTCCCGTCACGGCCCGCGTGTGGCTTGCACCTCTGGCACTGGCGGTGTTCCTTTCCAGCAAAGATGGCGGAAAGGTTGGGGATGAGCAGATCAAGATCTGTATTTTTGAAGTATGCAGCAATCACATCATACTTCCTTCCCAGTGGATGAAAGAAGTGGCTGTTTTGGTGTAAGGTCTGTTTGTTGGCGCACGAGTTGGTGCCAGATGTGCTGCAGACAGTTCGCTCGATCAGCCTGATTCGTTGCATCTTGATTCGACGGGGGGGGGAAACACTGGACCAAAAATCCGATTGAGCGAATCAGACAGATTGGACTCCGCTGGCTGTGTGGCTGTAATTCTTGAAATTGGACTCAGCACTTCACCAGAATGAGTGTCCTCATGGATGCAGAATGACTTGATCAAAAGGTGTAGGCGATTTCGCAAGGATTTTGATTGATCGTAACATGGATTTCCCAAGCCGCCCTTCATGTGATGTCCCCCCATGCTGGCCAAGAGGCTGTCGCTGGAGTTCCTCAAACCTGCTTTTGAAGCGTCTCCTTAGGATCATGGTTGATTTTGAGGTCCTTTTATTCGGGGATATATACATATTATATATATAATATATGACTGCCAGAGGTCATGCACGTTTTTGACTGGATATCTATGTCCTTACGTGGTCCAGCTTGCCCCTTACACCAAAACCGCCGTCCATCATGCCATCATACATCTATTTGCATCACTTCATGTTGGATGTGGACAGCTGAGTTGAAAGCGGCGGGAAGACTGGATGGTTACACCAATTGGTCGGACTTTGCGGGTGACTCCCACGACCAGCAACCGCCGGTTGGTTAGGTGATATCATGTTTTTTGGAGGCCCAATTGACCTGTCTTCATTGGTCGCACGGCCACCGAACTGGTCATGGGATAGATCCGTTCGATCCAAGATGTCCTTCGAAGAACGAAACGAGAATCAGCAATGGCGACCTTGGGTGATGTCTCCACACCGTGTGGGTGTTCTTTTTTGGGCAGGCCATGCGTGCCACATCTTCAACGAAGCGAGGAATCCCAACATCGGTATGGAGGGACTTCTATGCCTGGTATGCTATTCATTCTGCGAGAGGGGTTCTTCTGGCAAATGAGGACTGTCAAAGGGTTCAACATTTCTTTCACGCCAGCTTTCTTTGACAAATTTATGATCTATGATGATCATTGCTAGTAGGTTGGAGGCCATCGCTATTAGGGTGGAGGCCATCCCTATAACTTTTTTGAGGGGAAAAACAGGAAGAAGCAGGAAGAACTATCTCCCCCATTCCAGGTCTCGCAGACGGTTCGCCCAGTGGCGAAGAGGACCAACAGACAGCCCGGACAGCGATCCCGGAAAGGCTCATTTTCTGGTGCGACTGCTGAGTGCGCAGTCCTTATTGAGTGTTGTAAGCTCTTGGCATGCATTTTCTGGGCGCAGCTCCTTATCCTGTCTCCATCATCGTGTAAAGACACGGCGGCCACACGGTCGCGTCCGAGGTTTTTGGAGATGACGATGGGCATGCTGACTTGGACACATCCACAATTTTCACAAAAAGCCCAAACAGTTCAAACATGATGAAACAGAAGCTTGGGGACGATGATGGACATTGCTCTTAAGCAAGATGCTTAGCCGTAGGTGGGGAGACGACCGCAGCAGTCGGCAGGAGCCTTTGCTCCTGGTGGAATCGCTCAACCCCACGCGCCCCGATCGAACTGAACCCGATCGGTCGGATGCTCGCCAACAGTAAAGCGAAGCACGTATGGTGTCAGTGTTCGGTCCTAAGCCAAAACACCAATCCGATGTGGTGCCGAAGCACGGTTTCACAGAGGAGAGGGGTTTTTGAAGGTCCACTCTGCAGTGGACCCTGGTTCCGTGCCGCTCGTGCTGTTCCATCCCCTGATGGCCTGGGCAGTGAACCGCTAAGACGTCAGGGGGCTTATGTTGAGGCGGCAACGTGTGGTCCATGCTGGGAAAGCAGCAAATCTCGATCAATTGTTCCATCTCCTTCAGACATCAATTCTTTCAGCCTACTTTAGGGAGCATTTTCCAACATATTTCCACAAAAAGCATCAGAGTGTTTGGCATCTTGCGGATGTAACCAGTCTCCGCCGCAAGCGACCATTTCGCACGCCTTGCCTCTCAACGCTCGAGCTGCTGATGGAAGGTCCCAAAGAAAGTGGATTCGGAAAGATCGACAGTCTAAAGGATCAAGAACCGAACAACTGCAGGGTTTTGCTGCTTTTTTTTGGGATACATGATTTCAACGGCTCCCATTGGCTGAAAGGGCCCCAGCCGTGACGCGAGCTGTGAAGAGGGCCAGATTTGGCGAAAGGTGAAGGCTTCGGGCTCAGCCCATTCATCACACACATATCGAAAAAAAATGGAGGTCTCCGACGTGGGTCTGGGAGATCTGCCCTTCAGGTCAGAATCAAACATCAACTGACTCAACACCAATCCAAAGATGGAGGCCCACACCGTCATGTGACACATCATGTGAGCCCACACCGGCCCACACCGTCGAAGAACCGGACCAACACGGACTGTCCTCCGCTACCAACAGGCCCGCTCTAACGGAGAAGCAAGCCAGATGCTTGCGGCGGTGGCTTTGCAGTCGGTGGCTCCTTGTGATTGGACTGTAGGCCTACCATCATGAACACACTCTAGATATCTCAGATGGCCTTTTCCTATTGGTTGGTGGATTAATAGGGGGGATACCACACCAAGTGTACAACCAAGTTCGGTTTCCATGGCACCTGGCACCAAACCAACTCTCACTGGAACACACCCTGCCTGGCTCTCATGCGCCCTTCGCCAAGAGTGGAAAACCGCAAATGCCTCGTTTCCAGCGTCGTTCGATCTGAGCGTCGAGCGTCGCTTGGCCAAGCGGATGCCCCATTGAGTGCATTTTAAGGTCAATTGAGAAGTTGTCCCTCGTGGCCATGTCCATGTTCGCTCCTGCACCAGTGGCATTTCCGAGAATACCAGACTTGAGATGAGACTGATGACACCAACTGTGCTTCAACAATCAGGATGTGGCGTAAAGTTTCGAGCGTAGTCTTCCAAGGCCGCATGTGCTTGACATCAACGGAGAACCGCGTAGAAACATGGCAGACATCATGCGTTGGGCGGTCCGACCTGTGCGGGGGCGCTGTGTGGACCGAAACGAACACCGACGGGACGAGAGTTGGCACAGCAGGGCCCTCTCATCTACTCTCATCTACTAATCTATGATCATCTATGCGCCTACTGTTGGGAGACTTTTTGGACATCGTGTGCATGCAGCTCGCTACAGTTGCACTTCGTTCTTTTGTAGGTGGTGCTTTGCCTGCTTCAGGCGCTTTGGCAGGTTTCGGGTCAGGTGAGAGACGACATGTGTGGGTCATGCACTAGCACTGCTACTATTTTGTTGTTTCCTTTTCCAGGAGAAGATTATCATTTACTTTGTTGCAATCTGATGATCCTTGTTGCTTGACTTGCCTCGATTCACATCAGATGACTCCATCGCTTTGTAATCAAGGGAACGTGAAGAGAACCGCCAAGCCATAGAGCCGAGTGGAGAACAGGCCATTTTGACGAAGCCCATCCTATCGTGGTGGGATATCTGAAAGTCCTTTTTGGGGTCATGCACAGCCTTTTGACATTTGTTGAGCCATACCATCGACAGACGTGAACTTTTTCACTAAGCGGTTCAAGTTGGTACCGAAGTGATGGCAACCTTGGCAACCCACTTCATACCAGTCCGACCACTAGAATCTGCAAAAGCATCTCAGCCAGGCCTGTTGCCGCCTTGGTCACCGTGGCCTTTGTTCCCTGTCATGCAAGAGAGGGCCGTTTGTGATCATTGGGCACCACAGGTTGACTGCTCCAGGGAGGGCTGGTAGTAGGGCTGGTCCCGGCCTCATCCACTCGCTAGCTCATGTTTCCCACGGCCCGTAGGCTCACGCCTCCAGTGATGCCTGATTTCACGCCTCCAGTGGTTTCAATCAACTCGGAGTCTAGGAGTATGACCAACTCATACCAACTTGCCGTCGGGCGGTCACGGTCACAGGTATGCCAGCGCTGCCCTGCATGTCTTGGCCTCAAGCTTTGAAACGGATGGACAGTCTGAGAGTCGGTACGCTTGACGTGCACCTTTTGGGCGCGGCCGATTTTGAAGGATTCCCGACAAAGGTGGTCAGGACCTGCCAGGTTTTGGGCACTGACCAAACAGGGGATGAACGTCTGGCCGCTTCGCCCCTACGACTGAGGCGTCCCAATCTGCAGAGCAGTCCAGGTGGGAGCCGTGTGCAGTGCAGTCGGACCAGACCACCACGTCCAAAAGGGTGTAGTGTTTAACTCGGAATCATGGCAGACATGTCAGTGTTCAGGTGGTGAGTATCGAAAAGGATGTGGGTCCGTGCCCCGACATTTGTGCAAAGAAACTCTTGAGAGATACAGATGTACCAGTTTCAATCCGGTTTTCCTATCTTGTTGAGTAACTATGTGGACCTTTTGTCAAAATATACATACATTTTTCGAACTCCACCGGTATCGTTTTCCCGCCTGCCAGGGCGCTTGGAGGCTGCCCTCGGTGCGTTTTCGGAAGCAAGTCCTGCTTGTTCCAAGATTGCACCCCGAGCCCGGAGAAGCACCGCAAGTGGAAACTGACATGGACCGTGATTGATGGAGCGTTTTTACATAGAACATCCATATTCTTCAAGAAGGGATCTCCATGACCTCTCTGCGGTCCATGCTCACCCTTGCTGGTTCAAGGTTGAAGCAGGTTTATTTACCGGTTCCGATTCCGCCTGACCATGTGAAACTCTTGTAGATTTTGGTCAAACCCTGTGTCATGACATGAAGCTTTGAACATGCATCATACCGGGTTCCGGCATGGCGGTGGTCGAACAGAGGGGTCTCCCTTCCTTCCCTTCTCGCGCGACTCGATTCGTCGACTCGATGCCTTTTCGAAGCCCAAGGGGGTCGGAACGTCGGGGTGGTCGAGATCTGCTTGAGCCACACGAGCTGTATGAAGTCGGCGATGATTGGGGCTGCCAGGGTCATCTCACCGGGCGGGACCGACCGTGGTTCTTCCCACCCGAGACGAGAACAGAGACGAGAACGAAGAGAAGAAACCGTCGGCCGGTGGGGTCGACCTGGGTGAGGTTCCGGGATTTCAGGTGCCATCACCCAGAGTCATAGTCATATGAAGTGATGGTCGACACGGGAAAGGCTTGGCCAGTCCTTCTGTGGTCCAGGTGACGCGTGGCCTGCAGGGAAGCTGAGATGCGTGGCAAATTGGGAAGTTGATGGAAGTTGTGAGGTATCAAAAGCTTCAATGAATGATCATGATGTCGGGTCTGGAGTTGGGTCAGGACCCTAACAATGAGTCTTAAACCCAGAGTTTTCATGGGAGAGATCCATGGCACAGAACATGAGGCCTGGCCAGGGCCGCCAGGGCCATGCGCCAAGCTTTGGTGGCCTGACCATGCCACCTTGGAGTTTCTGCTGGACAGGATAAGTGCTCTTGTTAGACATGTGACTTCTGTGTGGACACAGTCTCAGACATTTCAATCTGATCGGCCATGTGCCTGAGATAGTTGCATAGGCTCTCAAGTGCTCTTGCAGGAGTATGTTTTTGTTGAACTATGGAATATAGCTGCGATGAATGGATTCTTCTTGACAGCAAGGCACCTTAAGTTGCACTGGCCAAAGCTTAGGCCAGACTCTCAAGGCTGGGTTTTCGGGCCTCAGCTAGTCTCTGTCACTACCAACATCGCCCGGAGCGGATAACAGGATGTACCAGTATGGCTGCGACAGTGCGGCTGCAACAGCAGCCTTTTTGCAAGATAGGCTGTCTCCAAATCATAGGAGTTGACCGGCAATCATGGAAGGCATTTGAGGGTGCCAAGCGTCCAACATGGAAGACACGTCGCTCGGTTCGCTCAGTTCGCCTTCTCTTCGAGCATGTGACACGTTGCGCTTTCCTGCGACCGTTTGGGCAGAGATGCGTGTTCGGTCCTTTGAAACGGCTGGAACATTACATGAGATCTGTGACCCTTGACAAGAGCTAAAAAAAGCATTTAGCGGTGAATGGTTGTGGTGTACTTACAGAATTTTGGCACTTAGATTTCAATCTCAGCTGTTGTGCAGAATGTACTTTGTTGCAACGTGCGACCATTTCGTGTCGCATGGAGGGAAACCAGACGCTGAGCTTTCAGCCTTTGCCACGTTCCATGGGTTGCAGCAACAGCCGCGAGATTGAGAAGATCCACGAGCAACTGGATGCCGAAGATGCTGCACGCAGTCCGGTGAGAACCCTCCAACGAGGGGCCAAGCCTCAGCCCGAAACCACTCCCCTTCCGGGTGAAGCAGTCGCAGGAAAGGAGGATCCAAAAGACAAAGGAGAAGAGGCAGAGATCTTTGAGGCTGAGGTGAAGAAAGATGGTCCCAAGAAAGAGGAGGATTGGGTGGAGCAGGATCAAGTGCCCAAGAAAAAACGGATGGAGGAAATTGAGACTGCTCAGATCAAGGATCAGCTCGCGGAGGTTGGTGATACCGTGGCGATCGAAGAAGATTCTAAACAAGGGAGTGAGACTGCCAAGGTTGAAGAGGATCCAAAGCCAGAGAAGGAAAATGAGACAGAACAGATTGAAGAAGAGGTGCCCCCCAACCCAGTATGGCTTTGTCATGCTTTGTCCGAGCTTTACCTTGCAATGACGAATCTAAAACCCGAGACAATATCAACCAAACCATTGCTGTATATAAATTCCTATGAACTTTTCCTCTATGAAATGGGGTCGATTGTCCCCATATCGATATGTATGTCATCAATCTGTGTGGGTGTGCAGTCGCGGTCCACTCAGTGGGTCCTTAAGCCGAGGGTATGACTTGACCACCTGGCTGAGGTGCTTGCTGTGGATTGGTTTGAGTCCGCACGCCTTGGCCATGTTCCAACCATGAAGCAGCACCTGAAAAAGGCCGAGGATGACCAAGTAGAGCACTTTCTAGATTCTGAAGCTGAGGAGCGCCAAACGGCGCTCCATTTTACCGCGCAACGTGGTCACTTTGCGGCATGTGAATGGCTTCTGAGTATGAAAGCAGATGCCGGAGCCATCACCAAGAAGAAGGCAACAGCGCTTCACATGGCTGCCTCCTTTGGGCACCTGAAGGCGAAAAACCTGGTTTTCGATACGATCCGTCGAGCCACACGTCGAAGGTCTGAAGACCAAACAGTGTGACCTACGGGCATCGTAGGTTGAAACCGTCTTTCAATTCACGTTCGGTTCACTCAGTTGGACGTTCTTAGGATTGGAGACAAGAACTCAGCGGGGAGCTGGCAGACCGGTTGATTGGGCCCCGGTCTCGTTTGGACTGGTCAGGCGAACATGGTGGGTCACGACCCATACAAACTACAAACACATCTCTTTGAATTGGTGTTCATGAGAATACACGAAGTCCCGGAAACGTCACTTCTCCGTAAAAAAGCTCAGGATATTCTGTTACTCACACTTCCGAAAAGCACCAGACAGATCACTGATCTGTTGGGAGTCCTTTCCATGTCCTTCTCCATGTCCCCCACTCTGGGACTGTGGCTACAAAGCCGCTGGGAGCTGCTACTCGTTCGCCTTCGCGCAGTGCAGGTGGTGGAGCTGCTGGTGGATGACCCACAGCTTTGCAGCGTCGCTGCCGCCGATCTGTGGCGCTGTACACCGCTGCACCGTGCGGCGGAGGGGGGGTTCAGTGACGTGGCGTTGGTGTTGTTGAAGAAAGCAGCGGATCCACAGAAGGCGGACCGTGATGGGAACTCTCCACTCCATTTTGCTTCGACGTCAGGCTGCCAAGAATTGGTGGAAGAGCTTCTAAAGCGCCAGGTGCCCCTGAACTTTGCGAACAACGATGGCTTTTCTCCTCTAGACCTTTGCGTCTCCTGGTGGCGACATGGAGCCAAGCGATTCTAGAGAGTGAGCTCGACTCACATGAACATGACAGCATGTTACCATCGGATGTTGGGACTTGGGTTCACGAAGCCGAGTCTTGAAAAGAGTTTGGCATGTACCACTTGACTACTTGACGCTCACTCCTTTGAGGTCATGAATCCGTGCAGTAACAGCCTTGGGTCTTCACCAATGTTGATGTACGCATACTATATTTCATATACGATCAAGCCTTGGGGACTCATTTGCTGAACTTCCTTTGGTATGAGAATCATGTTCAACGAAGCAGTGAGAAATTCTGTCAGAGGTTGCTGATGGCTACCACAACTTACCATTCCCGAACCAAACGAAGGGCCCCAGATGTGCTCCCAAGGTACTTAGGAATGTACTTTTCTTCTTGACCTGCAAAAAAGCTAAGGTCTTGAAAACTGGGACACAAAGTACTTTTCAGTTTGCAAGCTTCAAAGCCACCGTTCCCAAAGCTTTGTGCACTGGAATTTGTGTTTGCTTTCTAAGGTCCGCAAACGTACCTCGGCGGTCGGGGATTTACTGGTGGCAGCTGGAGCGAAATTGGTCAAGGAATTGAAACCAACACCTCCGACACTGCTCTCTGCTGCTGCGTCAGGTCTTCCATTCCTGTGCAGCTATGTCTTGAAGTCAGATGATCGGCTTGTGAAGAAGGAAATTGTGGATACTGACGATCAAGATCGTACCCCGCTTCTTGTGGCGGTGAGCAATGGAAACAAAGAGGCAAAGGCATTGTTGTAGCCAAGGTTTCCACATGAGAACTGCCAGTACTTTCCATGTCCACACTTCAACAACCTCGCATGGGAAAGGGTGTCGATAGATCCCTGAGGTCGTGAAGCGTTTGTTGGGTCATCCACTTGGAGCAGCTCATTTGGAGCGACATAGCTCTTGCGGCCTGGCACCCTTGCATGAAGCAGCGCGCTCAGGGCAACTGTCCATGTTACAGATGCTTCTAGAGCACAAGGCTCATGTGGAGCACGTGGACGCACAAGGCAGTTCTGCCCTCTTTCATGCAGCCATGGCGAATCAGCTTGAGGTGGCCAATTGGCTCCTGAGTCAAGGCCTTCGACCCGAGCAATGCAATGACCGTGAGCGAACAGCTCTGCATGCTGCTGCATCTTCCGGAGAACTTGAAGCCTGTCAATTCTTGCTTCGGAACGCCGAGGACACGTGGGACCACGTTGGGAGACGTGGAAGTCGCACGGACCGAGACCGTGGGATGGAGACGCCGATCCCGACATTCCACCAGAGAAGCATGTGAATTCCCCATGTCTGAAAGGTCTAACCAAGAGTGTGTATCAGGATCATCCTGGACCTGGGTGTCCTCCGGAGGTCAATGGAGCTGCAGTGCTACTGGGTAGCGACCCATGGTGACACATATAGAGACTTGAAATTATTGTTTCTAGTAGCTTTTTGTTTCTAATGGCTTCTTGTTACTACTAGTAAGGCCCTTCCTCCTAGTAGCGATGCACTTGTTCCTAGTAGCATTTGTTTAATTATAATCTATCGACTTGCGAGGTTTGACTTCGTATTTTTGGAATGCTGAGTCTATGAGCCTATGAGCCGCGAACCCCGCAATGCAGGACGGAGATTCATCCCATGTCTGAGGTCTCAGTTGTTTTCAGCCTCACTCTCACCAGGACCCCAAGGAGTTGCTCACGCGACAAGATTGGGAAGGCGCTACTGCTGTGCATTTGGCAATCAAAGGCGGCCATGCGAAGCTCTGTCGCTTTCTGGCGGGACAAAATGCAAACCTGCAGGAGGGGCATGAGTGGGTTTCCAAGTCATATCAAGATATATCTTAAGTCATTATAGGCTGTAGGTCATTACAGGTCCTGAAGTGGCCCAGCCATGATGAGCCAGCCACAATGAATCAGTATGAATCATGCTTCCACGTGTCTTCGTGGCTTCATCACCTTCCCCAAATCCGAAATCCAGGAGTGCCTTGATTTCGGAGTCACACCTCTACAACTCGCAGCGGACCTGGGACATGAGGAGGTCTTGCAACTCTTACTTGACGACTTAGTGACGCCCCAGGCGCGCGGCGCTAGTCGCGCCGCGTGCAGCCGGAGCCCTCGCCGGACCGGGCCGCGATCACCGGACCGGACGGTTTTCGTGTGCCTTTTTTTGGGCGTCCTGTCACAGACCCTTAAGGGTTCAGGGTTTGGGTTTTGTTTTTTGGTATCTTCAGCTAACCTGAACCCCTTAAGGCTCTCCTGTCACAGAAGGGCTCATTCTTTGTTGTAGGCGCTGCGCTGGTCCTGTCACCAGTGGGGGGCTGTCGGGCGTCGGCTGTCGGGCGACGTCGGAACGAGCGCCAGGCGCTGGAACGAGCGTTTCAAGGACGCCAGGGGGATGGGTGCACCGCTTGGTTGGCCGCCTGTGGTCATGGCCACCGACGTTGTGCAGAACACCTGCGCAGCGCTGCTGGGGCCAAAGGCCTGAATTTGGGAGGAATGAAGGACCGCACAGGGCGCAAGGCGATGATTCTGGCCGCCAGAGGTGGACATTTAGAGCTCTGCAAATGGCTTTTGGACATTGGCCTTGGGCAGGTGAGTGAACGTGACAGCTGTCAATGGACCCCACTCCATGCGGGGGCTGCTGAAGGACACCGTGATTTGGTGGAGTGGCTGCTGAAGCAGGGTGCTGATGCCAGCGCTTTGGATGAGGACGGCCACACACCGCACAGCTTGGCACGGCGCCGAGGATTTGCACCGGTGGAGGCGCTCCTGCGCCGCCACATGGCACAAGCGGCTGGGGCGTGAGAGGAAGACAGCGACGTTGAAGACGTCGCTGGCTGGCAGAAAAAGGGTGAACAGCCGAGTGAACATGCCCAAGACTGAGCAGCCCCATCCATAACGTTATTCTTGTCTTTTTGTTTGGAGTTAACTTGTTAAAGAACAATTTCTTGGGTGCGTGCAGGCTCTTCAGATCTTGAAGTTGTTCGGGATTCTCAGAGTGGCAACCTTAGGAGCTCTGAGCAGAGCCTTGACTTCATTCTCCCGGCTCAGAGCCCTTGACTTCAGCATCCAGCATCCTTCAGTGTCATGCCTTAGCAGTCATGGGAGTTTCTCAAGGGAGGGATGCCTTCAGACACTCCTTTGAGATCGGAAATCTTTGTCCCCCCCTGCCCTGCAGTTGCCGCTTCCGGGTTGACCGGTTGACCTTCCAATCATTTCTTCAACATCCTTTGGCACCCCATTGTGGGACATGTTCATTCCTTCTCATCGAGTTGATCCCTTGAGGTGAGGCCTCCTCGTCGGGGCTGCCAGACAACTGCAAAACAGATGCGTGGCTTGTTAGGCTTGTTGTAGTATATACTTCTCACTTGTATGGAAATCAAACATCTTCCAAATCATCCCCTAAAGTTGTGTGTGCGTCTCTCTCTCTCTCATCTCACTCAGCAACGTCCGGACAACACTGTTTACGATGTCCAGTGTCTTCTTTGTTTTCTTCGCTGCAGTCCTCTGGCGGGTTGTGTATTGAGGCCAGACGCTTCTCGAAAGGCCTGACCTGGCCGAAACGATGTGTCCACGCGGTGTCGGGTTCGGTGGCTTTCGGGGCATGGAGAAGAGATTGGTTTTGATCGGTTTCGATGAAGTACATCAGAAATGGATGCACAAGTATCTAGATGTCTAGATGTTCAAAGCTGACGTGGTTTTGGCCTCGCCAGTGGGTGTGGGTTTCGGAGGGCAGTACATGAAGCTGGATTGCAAGGTCAAGGTGCATACAGCGGGGACCGTTGATGAGATTCTCATAGATTCTCACTGTTCCTAGCTTTATGCGAAGTAAGCTGCTAGCTTTCTGTGTTGCAAATTTTGGCAAACGTCGTGGAAGCCTCACAGCTTCCACCAGAGGTTTCTGTCCAGACTCTGGGAGTACATAATCAGCGCCGCTGGAAGGTTCGTGTGGAGCTGAATCTGGCAGAGAGGCGTGGTGGTTGCAACAACACCCGAGCCCGCATGAAATGGCTCATGTTTGGGGTGGTTTGGGTTTGAATGATGTTTAACCTGCGATGGTTTTATTACACATGGGCCACATGGGATTGTTTGCTTCCCTTCAAACAAACATCCATGGGACGTTTAATAGCTAGGTGTGCAACACACAACAAGGCTCTGCCGGGAAAAGGGGCTTAACAAGTGGAGAGTCAGAGTCACAACAGTTGAAACGAGGGTCTCCTCGTTGGACACTGCAGGGTTGGTGGTGGCAACGCACATCGTGTCTCTGAATAAACCAGATGAAACCGTGAACAGCTATATATATATATTACTGTATATCATATATTCTAGCTATTTGGGGACAAGTGTATCATAAGTCAGAACTCGGATTCAAAAAAAACACGTTCTTTGGTGAATTCGCCCACTTCACTTGCCACAAATACCAGGACCAGCCCTCCTGACTTCAGTCCTGAGGCGCTCTCTGCGCCCGAAAGCCGGGTGGCCGACGTTGCTCCTGAGTTTAGTAGAGACCATCACTTCCCCCCCAAACAAAGCACCCAGATTCCCCTGCCTACCACTCCAAATCTACATAAATCTACAGATGTCTGCAATCGTGCATGGCGACTGACCCCAGGAGAAAGTCGCGAAGCCACGCGTGAAGCACCCCGGAGAGCTAGATTGCTGTTTTAGTTACTTCAACAGTAGTCAGTTCTGCCAAGTTGACCAGCAGTTTGACAGGCAATCGAAATGTGGCTTGCGACCTGCACCTATTGAATAGAGACAGTCCCGTTTCCTCGGTGGGTTTCTTTTACGCCGTTCGAAACTCAAAGCACGCAGCACTGCCACCTAGAAGCAATTGCCTCCAACCTCATAGCGATGGCCTCCAACCTAGAAGCAATATGGCCCCCAAGCTAATAGGTCGAGGTTGAAGGATGTTGTTCCGCACTGTTGGAATTCTGGCATATGAATCCTATTGAATCCCCATCACCACTTCCACGATGACATGGACGACCTCCAGGCCACTATGACCTTCACATGGATGTCACACCCGGGATGCATATGATGGATGGACTGTGCTCGTCCTCGCCCGTTGTTACGGCGAATTCGCATCTTCGCGGCTCTCAACGCACTGGTCCAGTGGAGCTGATGGTCCATGTCCACTCACGTCGACGCCAGGCGTGTGGCGCCTTCTTCTTTACACCAAAGAAGACGGGGCCTCTTGGGTTTGGGCGGGTCAACTGGCCAGAGTTCAGAGAAAGAGACACTTGTGCCGAAGAAGTGCCCAAAGCCTGATTGGTTTGAGTGGGTTTCCCGCCTTATGAATGTTGATTTTGCAGTTTATGGTACATGAACAATCTACAGTGAAGACCCCGTCTGAGAACACTACAGATTTTGCACGTCACTATTTTCAGCTGTTCCTGGGGTCAGGCTTCTATGTCCAATCCCATTCATAGTCAAAGGCGGAGCAAATCTGACCGTACTGCCGTACTGCCGTACTGCGACCTGACCATGTGATTTGTACCTACAGAGTGTATTCCGGGAACCGGTGTTTTCAAGCTCGGTGCGCTCGACCAGCTGCAGGACCTCCTTCCGCGCAGATGCGCCGGTCTTTGTTCCGCGTGACATGGTGCGGGGGCACATTGTGCGGGTGCGTTGCTGGGATTGGACTGGGGAGACGAGGAGAAGACTGCTGGGGACTTGCTTTTGAGAGTTTTTTTTTTTCCGCAGTTTCTGTTCCTTTTTAAACATACATCGACTATGTATTATATTTCTGTGAGTGTGTTAAATCTTCAGGCTTTTCCCAGCGGATGGTTGATGCTGATTCTTGGCTTGAACAGTTCAGCTTGTGCTCCTGATCCTGTGTTTGTCATGGGATCTGGTCTGGGAAATCCCCGAATGGACTGATCCGCGTCCCTTTGAGCCAAAAGGACAAGGAACGGTCCTTGGCATGCTTTCGACTGCAATGTTAGCTGAAAAAGATAGCAGGTTGGAAAACAGCATGAGGTGTCTACCTCCCACCACCATCCCACCACCATCCCACCAATCTCCCACCATCTCCTTCCTTGAGCTTAGAGACATGTCGTGGACTCCCGCCTCCACCGCACCTCCCTCGACCAGTCCGCAGAGTTCGAGACCCCGACGAAGGAGGCGGGGATGTTGAGACCTTACTTTTTCTTTGGTTTTGATGCATCAAATTAGGGTGGGGCCTGTTTGGTTGAAGTTTGTTTGAGGATATATATACTTGAATTTTTGTTGATGAATGGACCTCTTTGCCACAACAAGAACCACTGTGGCCTCACCGCTCGATACCGACGGTACAATTTGAAGCAGGGGAGCAGACCAGGAAGAGGAGAAGACACTCGGTTTGGGGACACTGGACCGATCTTGGGTGTTGGTCATTTTCAGCATAGCTAGCAGATGAGATGCCTGGTCGTGCCATGAGATGCCTGTCGTACCATTCTTTCGTTCGTTGCATCTCAAAGAGCAAAGGCAAGTCTGACTCATAGAGGTTGGAACTGGTCTCCTCCTTGACTCATCCTGCAGTCCCAACCACTATGGACGTCCAATGTAAGATGGCCTCTTTAAAAGGGCTTTCAAGAAACTGCTGACTGGGATGAACATGGTTGCATGGACTAGCAAGACAGTGCGCCCAGGAAACCAGAAAGAAAGTGACCAACTCCAAGTCCCCAAGTCAACCGGGAGGATGACGACCCTCCTTGAGCGCAGGCGCCCGACAGCTTTGTGGCAGTGCGATCCAGGATGTTGGGCGCCCTGCTGATTCTCAACGATGTGGATGTGAATGGCAACAAATCCGTAGAAACCCCGCCTGGTCGGTCCATGTTTGGGTCGGTAAGGGCTGAGAAGAGCTGCGAGCCCCTTCGATGGAACACTTGTGGCTGTTCGATGTTCATTGAAAACCTTCTTAGTGTTCAGACTCAGACTGGCGTTATCTAAACTAGTCTGAATGCTCTGTCCCTTCTTGAAACTTCTTGACCCTCTCTAGCTATTTGCCATCGGGTCATTTGGCAGAACCTCACCTGACTCTGGTGTCTTATTTCTGATCCGCCTCCCTCACTCCCTCGCTCGCTCGTTCGCTCGCTCGTAGATCTGCACCTCTTCTTCTTTCTCGCCCTCTCCGAGGCTGCGTATGCGGCAGCTGCTCGAGGCCTGATCCCAGCACAGAGCTTCTCTCCCCCTTGACCGAAAGTCGGTTTGTTCCAAAGCAGCAAAGTGAGCCATCTCTCCAACAATTCCACTTTCATCCCTTTTCCAGTGGGGCGTTCAGTCCTTTGGGTTCCCAAAGTCCTGTGAAATGTAACGATGAATTTCTCGTTGCAGGATGAATCGAAGTGCCAAGGACCCTGCGAATGGGCTGTTCAGAGAGGGTGGACAAGAGGGGGTGGAGCTGCTGGTGTGTTTTGTTTTTGTTTTTTGAGGTGACACAGCTTGCCGTGCTGGGCATGGAACCATGGAGCAGATTCGGGTGGCTGTTGAGTCGTAGCCGAGGAAAGCAGTCTTGGAACACTCAAACAGTTGCAAGATGTTGTCATCAACAATTCCGCCTGATTCCGAAAGAAGAGGAGCCTGGAAGTTCCATTTTCTCCACCTTCCTGGCACCACCCAGTCGTCTGCACGTGCTTTTTCTGCAGTCGTGCCGTCGTCTAGTCGTCGCGCAGTCGTCGTCAATTCGTCCGGTCGTCGCCGATGTGCTGCATCGCATGGATGTGGTGCATCACACCCAACACAGAGGACATGGGCAGGGCCCAGAGCTGAAGCTCCTGAAGACCGCCAAGCGTTCTCAGGCTCCGAGCGCCTTGGAGGAGCTGGAGAAACATGCCACATGCCAGCCAATATGGTTGGCTTTGGTCGTGTTACCGCAAGATCGTAGAGGATTTGGACTTGTATGTAGGTATAGGTTGGAGGGATCTACTGACTAAGACTAACACATGCCACCTGCGCCGGTTGGTGGGTGTTGAACCGCATCCCATGCGCCGGTTGGTGGGTGTTGAACCGCTTTGGGTGGTCAAAGACGGGGATGAGGCTGAAGCGATGCCGGACAACCCCACTTGCTTTATATATGTATAGTGGAATGGAATCAACAGTCTTGCTCAAGGTGGCAAAGCAAGATCGGGTTGAAGTATGGTTTAAAAGTGCAAACAAGTGTGCCTGCCTTTCTTCTCCAGCAAGGGTGCTCCGTGTGATGTAATTTATGTTACATCCCTACCAACACCTGCTCTCCCTTTTTTCTACCCTCTCTTCTCTTCTCTTCTCTTCTCTTCTCTTCTCTTCTCTTCTCTTC